ATCCACTTTTTGATGATCATATCTAGTAAGGTGTCTCTGCCAGGATTACACTGACTAACAGGCTGGTAGCCAAGGTCAACACATGGTACACCTTTTCTATTCTTACCATAAATAGGGATTCAGTTGAAGGTCTGTGCTGAGGAAGCCCAGCCTACTCCCTTTGTAGTGATGTGTCCTTATCAGGGCATCACAGAAAATTATGGTGTAGACAAGTTTGAAAAAAAAGATGCTAAGAAAAATTCATCTTGAAATCTCAGATTAGTTATCACCTTACTGAAGGGCCAGTGTGTTCCAGAGCTAGAGAAGCACTCTGGTGGTGAGATAAGAGGCAAAGCCTGCTTGGCACTGCTGATCTTGCACCTCTGGGGCTTGGAGGGACAAACTCCAAAACCTTGTCATACAGAGTCATTCCCTGCTTCCACTGTTTAAGACAAGGATGTTCAATTTAATTTTTAATTTTAAGGACAGTTTGCAGTCTTTAATATTTTGCTTTTTTGAATATGTTTTAGGTGCATATTGTTCTTGATATCAAACCCTGTGTGCTTCTCACTTAACTTTAACTTTCTCCTGTATCTTGGTTTCATCAAATAATTTTAGAAATTTTCCTTGTTACAAAGCACTGAGGGACTGTGCAAAGATTTTCTTTGCCTTAAGAAGTCAAGAAAAAAAACCCCAAACAACATGCACTTCAGCAAAAATCATCTGAACAGCACTACCTGAGCTCTTCACATTGATGCCAGGGTGACTGGTATTTGACCATGAATTTAGCATGGTATGGGCAAATGGACGTTTGTTGTCCATTTATTGTTGGTAGTCCTTTATACAGTGCACAAAACTGTTGTACTGGAAGAAAAACTTTAGAGTCAGATGAATTCTGTCATTTATTGTGAGCACTGTGCTGTAGAAAAAAAATATGCTTTTTACTGAAAGTTTGTTTTGCTGGTAGCGCTTTTCTTGGTCATCCTAATTCGTTGAAAAGGCATCTAAAACCATTCTTCACATCGTTCTCTCCTATAAGCGCTTTCAATAGAGTTTGTCTCTGCTTTATTGATCTGAAAAGCCTTTAAATATTTGACCTAGTAAGGAAAGCAAGAAAAGTAAGAAAAGTTAAACAGTAAGAAAAGTAAGAAAATCACACTATGAAAAAACAAGCATGCTCTGACTGACATCCTGTCACAAAAATTTGTCTGGGAGGCTTTTCAGAAACACACACACACATGCCCATATATATGGAGAATATATTCACCAGCTTGAATACCAATGTTTTACATGAAAAATTTAAAAAATAAAATTAAAAAAAAAAATCTTTATTTTTTTTTTTTACCTGAAAGTGTACAAATGGTGACATGATGTGGTTAATAAGGACTTGAAAGGTCTGAAACTTCCAGGAGAGGTTTGTGGGTTTTTTAATTACGTCAAAGGTATTTTGTAAAAAAAAAAAAAATTCAATTCGCTTTTTTCTTCATATACATGGCTGATTTGTGTAACATATGAAGAATATTTTTTTACATGGGAAATAATTCAAAAGTTTAGAAAAATGAAGATTATCTTCATGAAAGTGTTAAAGCTGAATATTTCAAACTTGCTGAAATGTTTTGTATTGAAACTAAATTTTTAAAGAAATAAACTTGCCTTACCCAAAATATTTTATGCTTTTTAAATAGGATTTTTCAATAGAAAATAAACAAGCATTCTTCTAGAAAATGTGTTTCTAAATCTAGTCACAGTATATTTGCATGTGGCCTTATCCTAACCGAGATGGATGGGGTCAGGTCTTTATGTGATTCATTCAGGTTGAGTTTTATATCCACTATCCTTGAGTGCCCTCAGACAGTACAGCTTGATATCAGTTCAAGGGAATTGCATTTCAATCACTAGAAGGTTCATAGAAAGTGATCCTAGAAAAGGCATAAACACAACAACCCATTTCTAAAACTGAAGTGAATATTCATCTTCTTTTTTGCAATACTCATTCAACTTCATAAAATATTCACTGTTCATAAATAAATCAGCGCACCTTAGAGCTACAAATACATTAACTAAGTTTCGTTTTCTGTCACTGGGGCTAATTTTAGAGCTGTATGAAAACGATTAAAATGTTTTCACAAAAAATTTGGCTTGTAGATTTCCATTTTGTTACTGGCAACGCCTCATCTGCAGAACACTTTTTTCTGCTCACTCTGTTTACTGGTTCACAAAATTTTTGCATTATTAAATGGAAGCAAGCAAGGTAACTCTGTCATTGGTTTCCTGCTGAGTACTGTAAGGGAGGAAAAAAAAACCTGGAAGCAACTGTGTGAGGTTTTTAGGACTGTGGTCCTCCTCCCTCCTCACCAACCCAGTGAATGTGACTGCAAAATCTTGACCCAGGTATCAACACAAAGTGCTTTTCCACAGGTTCCTGTATGGCAATAACATGTCACTGGCATCAGGATTTTAATTATTACTGCTCAATGAAAATATTTTGCTTAAGGCAATCCACCAAAATGATAAAAAAGAAATGTAGGAAAAAAGCACTATGATTTTCAGTGGGAGGCTAAGTTTAGAGCTTTGTGAAAATGAACATGCTGAAGGAAACCAGAAAAATCCCCAGGATTTTGGTCACAAGAAAAAGATTCATCTCCATCCAACATTAGCAGCAGGACTGATGGAAAAAAGAAGACAAGACACTTCTTGCTGCACACATGGCACTACACTAAACGTTGTGTTAGAACTGCTCTGCCATTGGATTCTCAGGGGGTACTGAAGTGTGTCTGATCCTGACAGGCTATGGAATCCTGAAGTCCTACGAGTCAGTATGATGACTCATTAAATGTGCTACCAAAAATTGTTAAATTCACACAGGAATCTTCTTTTACAGAACTTCTAACTTGCTCCTCCACCGTCACACGTCTCACTGCTCACAGATGAAGTGTTACACTATCAAACTTGCAGGCTCACAGAGTCAGTCCCTGTACTGAAAATGCCAGAAGGAAAACATATTCTGTACCCAATAAATCATATACCCTAGCATTGGCCAAAATAGTCTCTTCATTTTTGTCATCCCCAGTCTGAAACGAGTGTGCTGTTTTTCTCTATTTATATATTACTCCTCTTATCATCAGAACTATGATACAAAGCAATATACATCAAACTTATAGTCAGCATCCTCAAGTTCTACATAAGTCTATCCAGTGAATAAATTATGGAATGGAAAGTCTACTCTGAAGCCTATGCAATAATCTACCAGTCAAATCAGTGAAAAGAAAGGGAAAAAAAAATAACATAAAGCCATTTGTATACTTCACTAAGGTATTCTAAGTAGAACAGGGAAATATGAGATAAATGTCTCCTAACCACCTTAATGGGTTAACTGGCTCTATTGAGGGCAAGGAAACCTGGCAGATTTTCACCAGCTGAGAGCCTATGCCAAAGTTTTCTGATTTTTTTTAATTCTGGCATGAACCTGTTTTCCTTTGGTATTTGTCTATTCCTGGCATATGTCCCCCATTCCTTTTATGAACAATAAATCAAAGAAAACATTTAATTCTTCTGAAGCGTCTACCTCTCAATAAATTATCCTTCTATTCTCTTTGAGGCACTGCCGCCTCCTTCACTGACCTCCCATTCCTTAGAGGCTTGAAAAATGCCTTAATATATATCTAAACTTTTCTGTGATCCTAATTTCATTTTTCACCTTTGCTTTCCTCATAGCTTTTTGTGAAATTCATTCTCTAATACTGCCAGATCTCTCTCTTACCTGGGTGTTTTATACCTCACATATGCCTGTGTCTCAACCCTTAATTACTTTTTCACATCTTTATTTACCCACATTGACCTTTTTTACTTTCTAGTGTATATGTTGCTGGATAGGACACGTAACCCTTGGCCACACATTAATTTATCATTGCACATTTTCCATTTCCCTTCTGTGGCCTTTGTACAAAATTCAATTACTTTATTGCATTGGATTTCAACCAAATCTTACCATATGTTTTCAAATTTCTTCCTCTGAATTTCAGCAACTTATCACCAACCATTTAGCTCTGACTTTATTATTAATGATAAAATCTGGGTTCCAAATATGTAGCCAGTTACACATACTCAGATGCACACAAGTTTTCTTTCCAAAGGTCCATACTGTGCAGCAGGCTGGGAGCCCTGTCAATGGAGCTCTACACCTACTCAGCCTCACACACAGTTGGAGAACCAAGGTCCTATTGAATTCTGGATTACTGCCAGGCTTTCACTGGGCATATTCTGGAATTTAATCAACACATTGGACTTATTCATAGGTGAACAGTATGTTTAATTAATTTCACTTCTTATTCTGTTCAGGAAAATAGTATTTTTTATTTAGTTGCCTCCTTTTGCATCTATGAAACGCACACACTGTCCCCTCAAACATAGACAAACATTTTATATTTCTGGATTTCTGTTGAAGTTGTGGAGTCAGAGAGTGAGCAGTCGTGAGCCTGTTGGCACTATTTATTTCTGTGTTGCTGTTGGATGGCAGTGGCCCTTGTGATTGGGCTTCCTAGCATAAGCACCCTGCAGCAGCTGCTTTTAAAGGTCTTTTTCAATAAGCAGTGGTGCCAGTAAGATGAAACCAGACTTGAAGCACAAAGAGGATGCAATCACAGCCAAATATATTTACTATGAAAATGTAAATCAATAATCACCGAAAATTATCTCTAGGGAGGGTTTTCCAGTATTATTCAGAGCAATCAAGGAATTGACCACTTATGGCAGCACTTCTACAAACAGATTTCTCAGGCCAATTGAAAATTAATCCTTTTCAAATTCCTGGCCAAACTGAAAAATAGATACATATTGTTTCTATTTGGTGTATACACATTTGTCCAGCTCTAAGTTCAAAGTGTATGAAAGACAGGTACTGCCATTTCCTGGGACAGAAATATCATGAGTAATAGCTATTTGCTGAGTATTAGTGCTGAAACAAGGAAGCTGGCTTGGGATCTGAAGCTCTCCTTACCTGGCAGAAAACTTTTTTTTTGGGGGGGATAGATGTGTGGTTTTTGTGATTGCCAACAGCTGAGAAGTATCTACTAAATACAGCTAAATAATTCATTAAATCAGCCTTAAGATGATTCAGATAGGGCATTCAGAAAGCAAAGGTACATGGGTTCAGGATTTATTTTGCATAACTTGCTGAGCTGATAGCTATTCCCAGTCGCAGAACTAATTATGCTAAGCTTTGGTAAGTTTCATCTTTGCCATCTTTTTTCCCACAGTCTTAATTTCTCAGCTCTCTCAACCTGTTGCTTCATCCCGAAGAGTCTAAGGTCTCTGGCATATTGCTGCAACCTCTGATACAACAGGAAGCCCTCAGTAAGCAGAACTCCACAGGGTACTTTCAGGCAGAGAAGTAACACTGGATTAAATTATATGTGTAAAAGCTAGCAGAACTCTGGAAGGATTCAAGAGCGGTAGGGCTTGTGCAGAGGCAGAGGAAGTTGCAACACCCATGTAAGATGTGACACTTCCAGAGGCTTTGGCAGGACTCGGCTCTGCATATCTGCTACACAGATGCAAATGCACAGCACATGCTTCTCTGTAGAGCTGTTAGCCACTGTTGCTACAGTGCACGAAGAGGGTTATTAGGCAGAAAGGATCACTTCTCAAGACTTGCTCATCAGCTGCAAGGCAACACCGGCTCATCGTGTGGACTCGCTCTTGTCTGCATACCTATGTTCAGGATATTTAATGTGCTGAGAAGCAGACACGATCCGAAACATCCACCATACGCAGATCCTGAAACACAGTTTCAAGTAAGATCTTATTTGTGCATTTCAGTGCTTGTTAATCATATTCATTCACATTCCTAGCAGGCATATGGGGAGAGTCTATACAGAAGCCAGCCAAGAGGAAGAAACAACTAAAATAAACAGATGGGTGGACAGGGAGGAAATAATATTAAGTAGTTAAATACATAATATAGTGTCTGGAGAGAAAAATAAAAGGGCTAAGAAAAAATATCAGGGAAGAACACTTCTCTCCTTCCTTACAACACATGCAGAGCAAGTGATAAAGGCTTTTGGGGAAAAATGCTGCGTCTGTAAACAAATAAAGAGATTCTACAGATTAATATAGGGACCTAGCAGCACATGTAGAGCAGACAATCTCCATTTTGTGTTACCCTGGAATAAATAAAAATAACTATCCTGTCCTTCAGTGAGGTTCTTCTAGATTTACACTAACATAATTGAAAGCAGAATCTGGCCCAGAAAGAGGATTATTGAATTTAACCAAAACATTATGATGAAGTGAAAAATCAGCAGAGGCTAAAATAGTGATGGATATAAACTCCAGCTGGTCAAATAATGAAAGACAGATTCATGAAGATGTGACTCAAATCTGATTATTTTGCTACCAGTGAATTTACTCTCTTCATTACTCTCCTAGTATCTTATTTAAAAGTTTAGTCATGTAGTCATGGCAAACAAACAATACCATGTGAAAACTGTCAGTGGAGTAAGCAATTCACCAAATGAACTATCTGAACTACACAGGAAAAAAATGAAGTATTGGTTATTGGTATTCACTCAAGTGCAGGGAAAGCAACTCACAAGAAGACAAATTCTTTGCCTCTCTGATTCCTCTTTTACTTCACAGCTAGCTCTGGTGTGATCATGCCCTCATCAGGTGCAGGGCCTCACCAATAAAATGTGGACAATACAAATCTTTCACTCAAGGATTTAAAGTCTGGTTAATGAAGAGCACATATAAAAGATACATACGAAGAGCACACCAAAAAAATGAAACCATAATGTGTATATTGGGAACCCCTTAATTTCTCTGAGATGACTCATAGTGATGGTGGCAAGAAAGAGGGGATGCAAGTTGGATCAACTCCACTTCCAGTTCAGCAAAACTCTCTTCCTAGCACACTAGTACAAAGCTAGCAACAACACTCATCACAGAATAATGAAGAATATTGAAGCACTGGTAACCACAGGACAGAAGCGTAAAAAATCCAGTGTCTGGATTGGGTCCAACCTGCCTGGAATAATTTGAATTTACAGAATTTCACATTACATTTTAAATGCATATCTGTAGTCTGTGTAGCTGTGTAGCAAAAGGAGACGTTGCCTTAGCAGAAACAAGTAAGCTCTCCTTTCCTGTTTGTCAGAGTGAGAGAAAAAAACTAAGAAGGACACGAAGAAAAACTGAAAAGAGCAAAAAAGGATGTCTTGGAAAATAGTGATAGAGTTACCATTCAGTTAGAGTCTCCTGCACAATGGCAGCTTCATGGTTGTGCCCAGGAAAGCAGACTGCCTCATTTTGTGAAAGATGGTGACATTTGCTGCTTTGATGCAATAGAGGAAAGAACAACAATGCAGCTCTGCTCTCTACCTTTTCCAAGTGGAGAAGATATTCCAGGCTCTTAGCCAATTAGAAAGGTTTGGTGAGTGCATGGTACTTCCCTTTTCATTCCTGCTGCCTTCTCTCCTGTCCCTAAAGGAGAAGAAAACTATTTTGGACCAATGTAAATCCCAGTAATTCAGTGAATCAAATATTCATCTTCTAGGATCTGGAGTAGATAGAGAAAATACTGTAACATAAATGTGCAGACAAAAAGCCTATCTTCCTAGATCTGCTAGGGACAATCTACTATATGTATTTTCTCTGTGAGATGTTTCCCTTCATCCCAAGAAATATGGTTATTCTACACATTCACTCAAATGTTGCTATTTAGACAACACAGCTGTAGGTACTGTGAATGCAACAGTTACTGGTTTGTTCTTTTGTTTGTTTTTCTTTGGTTTGGGTTTTTTTTCTTGTTTTAGTTTTATTTTTTGTTTTTCCTTCTTAAACATGAAAATAAGTATAGAGGAAGGGGAGGAGCTGGGAGACAGTTATTGTGTTTCAGAGGTGCAAAAAAGTCTGCGGGGAATCACATTTATGGAGAGACAATGATTTTATTTTGCTTTAGAGCTTGAGGGGAGTGGTGAGGGTATTCTGTAAAAGAAAAAGGTCTGCTCTGAGGCTGCTTGCCTGGGAATTACTTTGGGTTGCTGCTGGGAGCGAAGAAGAGATATCCAGAGGAGGAGAAAATGGTAATAATAAACCACAGGTTCTTGTGAAGATGGGAAAAGGATCTCAGGGAAGCACAAAGTTTGCTGTGCTCCTCGGGCTTGGCTACGCTAGTGCCATGCTAGCTCAGTGACTTTCTAGAGCAATAAGCTGAGTTTCCACATTCTTCTGTCTTAGGACATTGGTGTAGCTACAGACTACACCACTATCTGGTATTATTTCCAAGTTTATGAAGCCAGAAAAAAAAATAAAAATGCAAATTAATAGCACAAGTTGTTAGAAAATAATTTTAAATGATGATATGCAGGTTTTATTCTCAGGATCTGAAACATTTACTATCAGTAGTTTTCACCTTTTCACTAAGAGCAGCAACTTTCGGTTTCGGCTTTTTTTGCACTCAGATTAGCTTGACATTCCTTTACTTGTTGCAAAAAAGAACCTTTTGCAGACTTACAGGCTTACAGGCTGCAAATCATGGTATTTTCTTACAGGCTGCAAATCATGGTATTTTTCAAAAGCCATTTAGGGTTTTAAACCCCAAATCCCTGGGGTTTTAAAAGATGTACCCAGAATTTTATGTTGCCTGCATCATCCCTCAGAAGATTAGCACAAACTCACTAAATTCAGGGTTAAATTTAAAAATTAACATTTCTTATAATTCTTTATAGATTGTTTTCTCCCTTGAAAGTACACACCTGAAATTTCCCACATAGTAGATTCCCCCAGGAATGGAATACCACTCTCCCCATTTTTGGGTGAGATATTGCCATACTATATTCAAAAGGCTCATATGAATTAATTGTTTTGGAGGAAATGACTCTTCACTCCAAAGGGAGTAGAATGGATGAGAAACTGGATTCTAGTTTCAATAAGTTTTACTGGCAGATCTGAAGAGTTTCCTTTCTATTTTTCATAAATAATGACGTTTTCCACACTACTGGGAAAATTCCCTTGCTTTGTGTTTGTGTTTAACTGCCACTTGTAAGAATTATGCAGAGGCTTCAGTAGGAAAAATTTCAGTTCTTCAATTGTGTTCCAAAGGCATGGGGATAACTTTTCTTTATTATTATTGGTCTAAAAAGCATTAGTATTGACTTACAGATGGTCACCTATGCTGGAAGCTTATGAAAGAATCTTAAATTGTGGATAGATTATTCTAAATTTAGGGAAACATCAACTCCCTAATGCTAAAGGTGGAGTCATGCTGCTAAACATATTAGTATTTCTTAATTCAAACACCTGTTCTGCCTGAAAGATACATAAAAAAGCTCTTATTTATTGCTTGCATCTCCATTTCAGATTTAATCTCACTATAAATTCATCTCATGTTAATTTATGTGCAAACAAAGACACACACATTTTAAATATCCGAAATGCTGGAAATAAACTTATTTTTAATTTTGTGCTTGTTTTCCATTTGTCAACCAGCAAATGAAAGGACTGAATAAATCATGCACTAATTGCCAGCGGTGCTAAATTTAGTGTGAGATCTGGAATCCTTTTGATCAAAACCGCTGAATATGAAATCGTCCTCAGCTCTCTAGGCAACTTTATCCGCCTTTCTATTCTCCATCTGTCAGTCACCTGGGAATTTGTGAACTATTCCATATGTCAGGCTTGTCAATCACAATGGAATGTGGGAACTATCTGCCTACTGCATAGGAATTCTTGTTAAAAATTAATCTGCATTAAACTAGATGTTCTATATTTTGAATACCTTATTGTTTAGTGTTGCTAAACATTTTTACCTATATAAGGCTAATGAGAAATTATATTTGACATGATTATTTGGATATGTTTTTGCAAGATTTTTTTATATACACAGAGAAATTTTTTTTCACTAGTTCTGGAACACTTGGGAAATGTTCATTTTTTTCACCTATTTCACTGGTTATGAGTTTTCTCAATCAGTTCCTCAGGGTTGGAATTTTAGATTCTTTTTCTTGGTCAAAAGGTGATTTTTTGTTTCTAAAGAGAGGCAAAGAAGTTTGCTACAGCCACCTATGACTCTATAATTTTAGGGAGAGAAAATATATTCTCTCCAATCTCCTCTAAGTTGTTCTCTAGAACTTGTTGAACAATTGAACCCAGAAACTTTAAATGCATAATCTACATTAACAGAAACGTAATATAGACATGGACAGTTGTTTCATGAAATGATAAGTGGAGGGAGCTTCTATTTTGAATTAAAGACATTTTATTTAAAAATTCTGTTTTCTTTCCCTGTATTTTCATAAAGAATGATTTAAATATGCCTTTTGTTATAATGGGGAGAACTAAAAAAAATCATCTATTGAATCTTCTGCTATTAATAAATGAATTTTAATAAATCACTTCAATTAAAGTTGAAATAACATCATTTTAAGCAGAATCAGTTCTAGTCAACTACAATTTTCTAAAGAAAGTTGAAAGAAAAGAACAACATTACATAGCCTTTCCAATAAATATTCCAAAAAAATTGTATTCATGTTTCTGGTGTTGCATTGCATGCAATTTGGTTTGGTGGGTAAGGAACACCTTGCTGAACAGCTCTTACAGTGGCTTCTTTTCTTATTCCAGCCCTTCCCCCTCTATGCCCTGCTTCCTGCTGACATTTTTTTCCTTGTAGTCACCCATTTCCAGTGGCCCAAAGGTTCAGGTGGGCCAGGAGCTGAAGCTCACCTGGCTTTTCTTGCATGCAAAGGGGACACCCACTGAAATTCAGCTGGGAGCAGGGGCTCTGGTACCCCACTCAGGGCCGAGGCAGCATCCTTCTGCCTTTAGCTGCTGTTTTTTTTTAAAATTAGTAATGTTCATATCCAAGTCACCAAAATAATAAAGTTATCACTGACAGGCATCTTACATTTTGTACACTCTCTCTTTTCTAGTTCTGTAGCAGGAGCATTGCACAACACATCATTTTTGCTTCTAATGTCCTCATTAAAAGAAAATGTAAAGCTTATACATGTTTAAACCATGAAATATATACATATTTTTCTGTATGTCACTTAAAATCAGGCAAATATTAAAATCAAGTTTCTACTTTATCTTCAATATATAGAAGAAATGCTTGAAGGTTATTTAAAGGATATTTACAAGCATAACTTATATAAATTTTTAAAAAGTTATTTATCATATGAAAAGGCAGACATGTAATGAAGAATGATTTTCCTCAGACTTATAGTACATTCCTTGATAATTCTAAGTTAGGAACAAAAAATGGTATTTCACTGCAATGAATACTAACACATAGTGTTTCTCTTATTATCTTTTGTTTTAGTGCCCTTCTCTAAGGCACACAAACATGAAATTTAATTTTATTTGAATTGTGATTGTGTTACTATGAAGTTTTGTTTTAAAAAGCTATACTATCCCTTTACAAAGTTTTCATGACTTGTATTTCATAGCCTTTCTCAGGAACTAAAACATAAAGCCCAGTTTTATGCTGTCTTCACAGTCTACCTCTTCCTTCCTATTCTATACTTTTGACTAGTAAATTTTCGAGTATTTCTACAAACAGCACCACCTTCTTTTTAGCAGTCTTCTGAACTTCTGTAAGGTAGGAACTTCATAAATGCTTCTGAAAAAATTTCAGTGTTTTTTTTAACTATGTCAGCAATTTAAATAATTTCTTCCTTTATGGCTGTTAACAGTATCATATTCAAATAAAGGTGCAATAGTTAAAAAAATTGAATATAATAAAACAGCATAGAGTATATACATAACACTGAAAACACACATAGTGCAATTGAAAACCATGTACTACAGACCGACCTCAAAGGAAAAGAGTCTGCAGGAGAAAGGTTTGGTTCTAAATCCCTCTCCCACCTTGAAATGTACTCAGTTTTTCCTAATCTTTATTTTTTTTTCCTCCTTTTAATGAGATTGAAACTCAGGAAAGAACTTTGTCTCTAATCCCATGACAACTTACATTTTTATTACAACCTCTCAGTTAGGACTCTACTTCAAGGCTTTCTGGAGAAACAGACACATTGTGTTGCTTGATAAAAGTGTTGTACTGCAGTGGCTTCTCCAAAGAAGCTCACTAGTCTGGAGGAAAATTATTTTTCCTTTCAGAGTCCAAGAACTTTTGTATGTATCAAACTGTAGCTATCTCAAAAATTTGTCACTTCACCTATGCATTACCTTCATGTTTTATTTTATGTTGTCTTGAAAAGAGGCTGGAGGAGTCTGTGGGTGTCCCCACCAGACACTGCTTCTGTTGCTTTTCAAGGGAAAATTAGCAGGAGCAGTTGTACCTCATGTTGACTAGCCATCATTAGATAGTAAAAGCAACATGTGCATGCCTTCACCTCTAAATTCTAATGATTTGAAGCAGAACTAAAAAGGAAAATGAGGAACTAAACAGAAAATTAAAGCTGAGTCTCACCAGTGCATACAGGCAAAAAAGTCTTAATGCACTAGGTGACTCAACAGTTGCCCTGTTTATAGCTATCCCAAACCTGCTGGCTGGTGCAGGTAGGCACTACAATTTGCTGTCTCCAGGCCTCACATGTAGCTCTACATCAGTCTTCAAGACAATTGATAGAGCCTGGAGACAAGGCTCAAAACAGCTCAGGCTCATGCCAGCTGGCAAGTCTATTTTGAAACATAAATATTTCTGACACAGGATTTCCTTCCCTGATTTTTTTTTTCCTATTAATTTTCCAACTGAAAAGTAAAAGAAAAACCCAAATCCTAGTGATTTTCAAACGTTTGCTTTCAAATGTTAAATACTTTTAGCTCTTCAAACAATACTTCACATTGAGGACTGCTCTTCCAGGAACATCAGACAGCTCCCAAACACTGAGGAAGAAGATCTGCTGCTCACCTTGATGCCACCTGCCCCTTCACAGTCTGCAGTGATGTGACTGTCCTTCTCTGACATCATTGATCTGTCCCAGTGAACCTGGATCAGGAACCAGGGTGAAGAGTCAATAGCCAAAGAATTTTGTAAAGCATTTAAAAATGTTTATATATTAGCATATTAAAAACAAACAGCCAAAAATGAACAGAACCATTATATGATATCTTGTGATTTTAAACTGATATGTGCATTTATATGTATTTTATAGATATATATGTATATATTATTATATATCTACATTTATATATGTATATATACCTATATCTGTATATACACACATGTGCTGTCACAGGTATTTTTTTTTTCAATTGCAACATATATGTTATAGAACTGGTTTCAATATTTTTCAGTCAGATACTCCAAATTGGTAAGAGGGTGAGCATGTAAAAAAAATTGAACAACCTAGAGCTGGGCAAAGGCAGTTGTTCCTTTTTAAGTTAGTGTGGTCCTGTGACCATGCTAAAAAATTATAGCAAAGTAACATGAGCTGCAGGGGAATAAAGGAGAGATCGAAGTTTCAGCAGCCTCCTCCCTCAGAGTGCTTCCCTAGAGTGCAGTTTTGTCTTGACTCTTAATTGTGAGACTGTGAGTTTGGAGAGGTAAGACTTTCAATGGTGAAATGATAAAAAAAAATGTTTATTGTTTTGAGAGGTACCATGAGTTCTAAAGACTGTATTTAGAAAGGATAGTAAGAAAAAAGAGAATCTTAAATGTGCTAGGTCTGATTTTAGCAGAGTTTTTCTCCCTGATCCTTACAGCAGAAAATTTTCTGTATGGCTGTATTTCCATGTCTGCATGCTTTGGCTGTACCAAATTATCCATGAAACTGCTGATTTACTATGAATTAAGAGAAAAGCAGATCTATGACAGTACAGCTGTTAATATATTTCCCTTTTATTGTGATTAGCTAAGACAAATAATGTTTCAATAAGAGAGGAAATTATCTATCTATAGAAAATGAGAGATATCCTTAATAGAAAGATAATCCATCTTCCAAAGTTTATACCAAAGAATATAATGTCCTTCATATGATTTTTTTTCTTACAATCATTCAAAAAGAAAAAAAAAATCATTCTGTGCTGCAAAAAAAGCACATTATCTTTATTGAAGCCACAGAGGCTATCCAGCCATTTTATCAGGATATTGGGATGCTTAAGGAAGCAGCAGTCAATTAATGAACCGTTACATTTTCTTTCTTCCTCAATTTTTTTTCTTTCTCTTCTTGCCCTCGCTTATAAGAAAAACTGGAAATAGATAATAATAATAATAATAATAATAATAATACCTACTCCCCAGTATATGTTATTGGATATATCTTTTACAGATTTTTAATCTCACTATGTACTGTAACTTAAAGAGAAATCCATCTTTTTATAAGTGGCCATCATATTTTTTTGCATTTTAGGTAAGGCATGGATGTGCACAAACACATCATACATCATACACTCACACACAATGTTCAATATTAAAAGCTAGGCATTGCCAAACAGTTCAGTGCTGACCAGGAAAATGTAAATTCTCAATATAAGAGAAAGTCATGCTTAGTCTTATTTTGGTTTTGGTGATCCGTATATTCCAAAATATACTAGTAATTAATTTTTAAACAGCCTTTTTTTATTTTTCCTTCCCTCTGCTACCTGAGGATGACTTAAGCCTTGTGCTGTTGCTGAGCATAAATCTTTTCCTGCTTCTTTCCCTGATTTCCAGCAATGAGTAAGTATCACTTCAGCTTCTGGCTGATCACAGCTGATTGGCATCCAGGACAGAAGGGTCTCTCCCAGAGACCACAGGAAGATGCACTTCAATATGAAAGCTCAGCAGTCATACTGAGCTTTCTTACTATCAGCCATCTTCAAATAAAAATTAGTAGATGCTTAGCCTGCTTCTTTCACTGCTCTTGCCTTCCACTTGAGACTGCAGCTTGTGCCTTCACTGGTGTGGAGATTTTTGGATGACAGCTACTTATCAACCCTCAGCCCAAATCCAGAGACAGTCCTTGCTTTCCATTCAAAGTAATAGGCTTAAGAAAAAGATCTGAGTGGCTCTTGCTTTCTCCAGTTGGAAAGGGTGGACTCTGGCTGATATTACATCATTTGCAAGATGCAGCTCTTCCCCTGTAAATGAACTGAAAAAGGAGCTTCACTGTCAGGGAAATATCCAGGCTTGAATCTAACTTATGGCTGGTTCTATTTATTTATTTATTTATTTATTTATTTATCTGTTTTGGGGGCAGGGTTATCTTATGTTGTTTTGGTTGGGCTTTTTTTTTTTTTTTTTTTGAACAGTGGAAGAACACTAAAGCAGTACTTTGAAAAATGTTACAAGGTATAAATAGCACTGCTGAGAGCAGAACACAGGCTTTGTTGTGTTATCACACAGCAGATCCAACAATATACTACAGATCCATATTGTCAACTGAAATGGAAAAGGAAAACAGTTCAACAAGAATGCTTCTTAGGAAAACTACCCAATTTACTCATGTGTGTCTCAAGGCCAAAGCATCTTATCTTTGCACAAATCATTCTTCTGTAGTGAGTAACAGCAATACTTCAAGTGGTTTTCTGTTGTGTGTCATAACAGGCGTTCTATTGATGTTGCTAAAAAAAAAAAAAAAAAGAAAGCCTGTACCATGATTTTAAACTAGAAAGTGGCACACAGTTTTTATTCTAGAAGGAAGAAAGTTGAATAGCAGATATTTTAGCAGCATTAAGATCACAGAACCTGAACAAATACGTTTTCCATAATAGCAATAATGTTTTTATTCTTTTATTATAAACACTAAGTTTGAACCCTTTTACTGCACACTTTGTTAGTTTGAGAGATTTTTTTTTTAATCTTTTGAGATTAATTTTATCAGTTTGAGAGCAAATCTTCCCACATCAACTGCAAAAAACTATTCAGCCAATAGTGATCACTTTTTATTGTGCAATCATTACTCAGTTACTCTAGTCAATGCACAGATATTGGCTCAAGTATACAAGGCCAATTAAAATAGGAACACTGGCAAGAAAACATAATGATACTTCCTTCAATTTATTAGTTACGGTAAATGGCTTACAACAAACCAAAAAGCCAGTAACATTCTGAGATAGATGCATTGCTTCTGTACTGTGGATAATTAAGTGTTTTGGTGGGAATTTGTTCGTAGGACTGATATACAATTAGACAAATTTGTTCACATATCATGTTTCATTGAAGTCTGTATGAGTCTTCTATGCTTGGCAATGGGTCCTGATCCTACATGCTTTTATGCCTGATTAATTGTCAATATTAGGCAGGAGTTTGCTCATTAGCTCCTAGCAGGGCACATCTCAAATTGCAGTAAGCTCCATTTAGAGATGATATGCTAACTGTTAATAAACTGCATGGATTGTGCGTGTGTGTGAATCTCAGCTGACTATATGCATATACATATACACATATATTATGTACACACACACACACAAACATGTACATACATGTATTTGTGTGTGTATATATACACAGACACATATACATAAGTTAGATCCATGGAAGAAAGGAATAAATACAAATTATTCCCATGTATACAAGTTGTGGCTGCAAGTGCTGCTAACTTATTCAGGACTCCCTAGTGAATAAAAACATCCCAACATAAATTTGCTGTGTATTATTCATGCTACATTTTAAGTTTTCAATCTGTCATGTCAACTGCTTTAAATCATATCTAAACCAATGTGCTAAACAGACATCACTTTTAAACAAAAGGAAGTAAATTAAAGAACATCTTGCTGTACAACAGACATTTGTTTTGTACATTCATTTTCCAAGGACTTCATTTCTTGATCAAGAGACATAGAAGGTTGACAGAGAAGTAACTGATAATGCAAACTATTTCTTTCCAGATCAATTTTTCCTCCTAACTAGTAATACTGCTGTGCTCAACAATTCAGCCTCAATGATAAAATCTGACTGTTCCCAGATTATAAAGCACTTATCATGTCTAAAAGTAAATATGCTTTATTAACATAATTGTTTCTGCTCCTAATTTTTAAAATCCTCCCATCAGCTGAAGTTTGTATGACAATATCAGTAAAAGTCTTTGTCCATAAAGCTCATGGGAACCAACAGGAAGTTACAAAAAGGAATCAGCAAACTTCCCATTGTAAAAGATTATGTGTGCTGAGCATGAGCACTAAAGAAACCCTGTAAAAGTAAAGTAAAACAAACAAAGAAAACACCAAAACAAACATGTCTTATTTCAGCCTCATGTGTGAAGGAGCAAAGGTGTGGAAGCAGTAGTAAGGACTAGTATTTAGGTATAAAACCATGAACAAAAGCAGTGATCTAGCTTGTTTTATTCTTCAATGAGACAATGCTGCCTCCACATTCTCTGGTGCTGTAACTACATTTCAGAGATGACAATGAGATACTTTCATCAGGAGATCTTCTGTCTTCACAGTACCAACTGTGAGTTGTTACTCACAGTGCTCAAACGTGAGAAAGGCTTGTTTGTGTTTTTTCATGCAATCCCACTAAGAACCAAAGATTACCAAGTTGAATGAATGCAACACTTAAACCTTGGGTTAAACAAAAAAAGACTACAGAAATATAAATATAAATAGCTATGCAGATCTCTGTTGGGAAGTACATGAAAAGACAAACAAATGTAAAGAAATGGCCTTTCAGAATACCCAGAAGAGACAAAATTTTGCTTTGATTAGTTTTTACAATATTTGTCAGATATAGTATTCCAGTATCAACAAAATAGGGCATTGACTCACATTTCAGTAACTTCAGTTTAAAAAACCCAAACTATCTTCATAATAGCACAAGGAGCTGAACATTTAAAGGTCTATAATCAGACCTCACATGCTAACACGAGGTCAAACATGTTTGGAATATGGTTCTATCAAACATGGGCCATTAATCTGTTACTCAGACATCTCCTAAAGCAAGCAACTGCAGCAGAACAGACTCCCAGGCAGAGCTCACCAAACCTGGCAATAAGTAAGGAGCCATAGTTCTCTCTGAAACAGTTAAAAACTGTTCTCTCTGAAGCAGTTAAAACGCCATTTTTCAAG